TCTACAGGCGCCCGCCACCTCGCCCGGCTATTTTTTTGTATTTTTTAGTAGAGACGGGGTTTCACTGTGTTAGCCAGGATGGTCTCGATCTGCTGACCTCGTGATCCGCCCGTCTCGGCCTCCCAAAGTGCTGGGATTACAGGCTTGAGCCACCGTGCCCGGCCATTTTTTTTGTATTTTTAGTAGAGACGGGGTTTCATCATGTTAGCCAAGATGGTCTCGATCTCCTGGCCTCGTGATCTGCCTGCATTGGCCTCCCAAAGTGCTGGGATTACAGGCATGAGCCACTGCGCCCAGCTAAACTTCTAAAATATCACAGGAGGTCGATTTGCTACTTGGAGTGAGGTGCCCACCAAAGTTAGGCTCCATCCCCTCCCAACAAGAAGCTGGGGAGAACTGGGTGCTATCTTCCTCGATGCTTACATTTCCAAGGGATGGTTTCCAGGTCCTTAAAAACACCTTCCTGGGTCATAATGCCGGCTGCAGGCTTCCTTAGCTTTGAAAAAGATTAGCGTAAATGTTGAAGAGAGAGAGACTTGCGATGGCAAAAAGTTTTCTAAAGTAAATGCTCTAAGCAAAGGGGACAAGGAGGAATCGCTTCCTGAATTTTCAACAGGAAGAATTAAATTTTTTCTTTCGATTTGTATTTGCCTGTACACTGGTAATTATTTTTTGATTGGAAACCTGTTTAGACAGACAGGTTTACCTGTTAAAAAAAAAAAAAAAAAGGAGATTTTCTGAATGTAATACTTTTAAAATAAAAATACAAGGGAAAAATGTTACACAGGCGAAAGAAACACTTGTGCACCACATGAGGTTTGAAGTAAGAAAGCGACACGGTCAGATCTGGTGCTAGAAAGATCCTGCGGGCACTCATGTGGGAGATGGATGAGAAAGAGAAAGGGTGGCGTCGGGGGCAGAGGCAGCCGTCAAGAGCAGGGCCTGAAGCCTGGGGACGGGGAAGAAGTGGTGGTTTTGTCACTGGAAAGGGGTCCCGATCAAGACCCCCGGAGAGGGTTCTCGAACCTCGTGCAAGGAAGAATTTGAGGCAAGTCCATAAAGGGAAAGCAAGTTTATTAAGAAAGTAAAGGACTAAAAGAACGGCTACCGCATAGGCAGAGCAGCAGCAAGGGCTGCTGGACCGAGGCTACTTACAGTTATTTCCTGATTATATGATAAACAAAGGGTGGATTATTTATGAGTTTTCCAGGGAAGGAGTGGAGACTTCCTGGAGCTGAGGGTGCTTCCCTTTTTTAGGCCATGTAGGGGAACTTCCTGATGTTGCCATGACATCTGTAAACCGTCACGGTGCTGGTGGACACGTCTCTTAGCCTGCTAATGCGTTATAATTAGTATATAATGAGCAGTGAGGACCCCCAGAGGTCACTTTAATCGCCGTCTTGGTTTCGGTGGGTTTTGGCAGCTGCTTTACCACAACCCGTTTTTATCAGCAGGGTCTTTGTGACCTGTATCTTGTGCCAACCTCCTATTGTCATCCTGTGACCAAGAATGCCTTAAACTCCCGGGAATGCAGCCCAGTAGGGCTCAGCCTCATTTTACCCAGCCCCTATTCAAGATGGAGTCACTCTGGTTCAAACCCCTGACAGCTGGGTGAGAAATCTGGGCAAGACAGGGTCAGATTTGGTGACGTCTTGGATGTGAGGTGCGAGAGCCAAAAGGCATTCCTGACTGCCTGGGATATGGTGGTAACGAAGAAGCGGGAAGCTGGCAGTGACGGTGGGTGTGGACCAAAATGTCAATTCAGGAGGCAGGCAGAGATGTGAGTTTGGAAATCAGAATGGAGAGACAGCAGTGGCAGGAAGCTCTAGGGCAGGAAGGGAAGGCCATCAGCATCAATCATCTCCATGGTTCTCTCCAGTTAAACCCTTCTCAGGCACCACCCCATCCAGGAAACCACTGCCCAAGAGGAAGAACACGTGGAACTTCCTGAAATGCGCCTACATGGTGATAACCTACCTCTTCGTATCCTACAACAAAGGGGACTGGGTAAGAAGGAGGCAGCACAGAGGGGAGGAGGGTGAGGAGAGGAAGCAAAGAGGAGGGAAGTAGGGGCACAGAGGAAGCGAAGGAGGGAGCCACGGAGGTGCCAAGCAGGAAGTGGTGGGAGAGCCCTTCTGTAAAACTCTCTCCTTCCCGCTCTTCCTCCCTCCCTCCATCTCTCACTTCATTATTCCTTACTCTCTCCTTCTTCCCTCTTCTTTCTTCCTCCCTCCCTCCCCTTCCTTCCTCCTTCCTTCTTTCTTCTCTTCCTTTTTTCTTCCCTCCCTTAATTCTTCCTTCTCTCGCCTCCCTCCCTATTCTTTCCTCCTTCTCCCTTCATCCCTCCCTTTCTCACTTCCTTTCTTTCTTCCTCCATCTGCTTCCTCCCTTCCTTCTTCCTTCCCATCCTTCTTCCTTCTCTGCCCTTCTTTCCTTCCTTCCTCCCTCCCTTTTGTTCCTCCCCCTTTCCTCCCTCCTTCCCCCTCCTATCCTTTTCTTCCTCCCTCTTTGCTCTCTCCTTCCCCCTCCTATCCTTTTCTTCCTCCCCCTTCCTTCCTCCTTCCCCCCTCTTCCTTTTCTTCCTCCCCCTTCCTTTTCTTCCTCCCCCTCTTCCTTTACTTCCTCCCCCTCTTCCTTTTCTTCCTCCCCTTCTTTTCTTCCTCCCCCTCTTTTCTTCCTCCCCCCCTTCCTTTCCTTCCTCCTCCTCCTCCCTCCCTCCCTCCCCCCTTCCCTTTCTTTCACCCCTTCTTTCCTTCCTCCCTCCCTCATTCTCTCTCCCTCCTTCTCTTTCCTTCTTCCCTCCCTCCCACCTCTAGACTGGGATAAATGCTACTCCCTTCTGTACTAACAGTCCCAGGGGCTCCTCTGAAATACTGTCACTCATTCTGCCTCTCTCTCCGTTGCTGTCTCTTGCTTTTTCTAAGGGACGTTCATAAGGACCAAGCTTGTTGCTGGTTGCTGGGGACTTTGATGGTTGAGCTACCTTCAAGAAGGTCCTAAGTTTGTAAAGGAGGCAGGCAGCCACAGAGAGAACCAGATCACCGAGTGGTAGCACTTCACGAGCAGGTGCTAGTGCGGGAGGCAGCGGCGCTTACCTCAGCCTAGGGGAAGCGTGGGCTCATGGAAGGCTTTCTGCAGGAGGTGACACCTCCACTGTGGGTTAAGGACAGGATGGAATTAGCCAATTGAGGAGGGGAAGCAGGGGAAGCATTCCAGAGGGAACACCATGTGCCAGACTCAGAGAGGTGAACACAAGGCAGAGTGCAAGAAACTACAGGCCAGGCCGGGCGTGGTAGCTCACGCCTGTAATCGCAGCACGTTGGGAGGCCGAGGCAGCTGGATCACTTGAGGCCAGGAGTTCAAGACCAGCCTGGTCAACATGGTAAAACCCCATCTCTACTAAAAATACAAAAAGTAGCCAGGCGTGGTGGTGCATGCCTGTAGTCCCAGCTACTCAGGAGGTTGAGGCAGGAGAATCACTTGAACCCAGGAGGCCGAGATCGCACCAGCCTGGGTGACAGAGTGAGACTCTGACTCAAAAAATTAAATAGGAAAAAAAAAAGAAGGACAGGTCATCCTTCATTCATTGATTCAGTCAGTCTTCAAATATTCACGTGTGTGGAAGACCCATCCTAGATGCTGGGGACTCAGAGGAGAACAGAACCCATAACGTCCTTGAGTCCCTGAAGCTCCCACGATTGGGATGGCAGGAGGACTGCAGAGAAACAAGCAACCAGCTCCAAAAAACATAAACTAAATCAGGGTGATATCACAGAGCGAGCAGGGCCACGGGCAGCCTTCCCCAGGCAGGTGACGTCTGGACATAGAGATGAGACAGTGGAAGGATCTTGCCTTCAGAGCAGCTTGGGGGTGACCACTGTAAGCAAAGCAGGCCCAGCAGACCCCCAGGCAGGGACACGCTGAGTGCCTTCAAGGAACCAAAGGAGCATCTATGTGACCTGAGAGGAGCAGGGGGGTCCAGGTCATGTAAGGTTCTCATAGACCAGACGAGAAGGAAGCTTGTGTTCTAATCTGGTGGACAGCCATCAGCGAGATCCCTTCTGAGTTACGAAAGGATCCTTCTCGGTGCTGCCTGTGGAGAGTGGATCAGAATCAGGGCAAGAGTGGGAGCAGACAGATGGAGAGGAGGCCCTGGACCAGCCAGGGCAGGAGACGTGGCGGTGCTGGTGGAGATGAGAACCGTGCCGCAGTTCTACAGGAACTGCTTATGCGCTGGGTGTGAGGAATAAGGGAAATGGAGAGAACAGGGAGATGAGCCTGAGACAGAGACTTGAGTTATGCTAGTGGTTCTGAAACGGGGGTGACGTTGCCACCCACGGGACACTCAACAGTGTCTGGACCACAGGATTGGTTGTGACAGCTGGAGGAGGGCACTCGACTGGCATCTAGTGGGCAGAGGCCAGGATGGCCACTCAACATGCTACACGGCCCAAGACAGTGCACCACGACAGAAATAACCCGGGTCAAAACATCAGGAACCTGAGAGTGAGAAACCCCAGCTTAGGGGATTGTGCTGCTTACGGGGATGAGGAGGACTGGCTGGAAGATGGGGAAGAAGGTGGGAGTGGTGAGAGGCGGGCTGAATAGTGAAGCAAGACCACAGGATGTCACAACCAGAGGGAAAGAGCAGACGGGGAGGACAGGAAAGAAGGGAGAGGGGGATGGGGAGAAAGGGAGGGAAGGAAGGAATTCACTCGCCTCACCCCAGCTGTTTCTTTCTCTGTTCCCGGTTCACTTGTTCCTCCCAAGTGTTACTGCCACTACTGTAACTCGGAACTGGACATCAGGTAGGCTACGGTCGGGAATGGGCTTTTCACACCGCTGGGGTGGGGCTGGGGGAGGTTCATCCCAGCTGCCTGGCATGTGAGGTAAGGAACACAGGTGGATTTGGAAGCTGCAATCATAGACACCCAGAATTGCATGAGAAGTCCCAAGTTCATCACCCTTAATTGCAAGCCACTGCCTGACACGGGCAAGGAAACACATTAAAAATGACAGGGACGTGCCCGGCAGGAGGAACTCCCTTTATACATTCACTTGATCATTTTTTTCACAGGTCTTAGGACTTGTGGCCCAACACACACAACATACAATTAACCGTTAGTGACTTCCAGTGCACTCACAATACTGTGCGGCCATCACCACTAATCTGTTTCCAGAATCTTCTCAACATCCTCAAAGGGAACTCTGTACCAATGACACCGTCTCTTCCCCCAGCTCCTGGCAACCGCTAGTCTACTCTGTCTCTGAGAACTCCCCTATTCTGGTCATTTCATACCCATGGAATCATACACTACGTAGCCCTTTGCATCCGGCTTTATTCATTTGGCGTAGGATTTCCAAGGTTCATCATGTATACCTTGTATCAGGACTGTATTCGTTTCTGCTGGGTGATACTCTACTGCATGGATATAGCACGCTCTGTTTATCCATCATCAGGTAAAGTGCACTGGGTTGCTCCCACCTTTTGACTGTTGTGAGTCGCGGTGCTATGAATTTTTATAAACAAGTTTTGTTAGAGTATCTGTTTTAAAATCTTTCGGGGTATATGCCTAGGAGTGGAATTGCTGGGTCATATGATAATTCTGTGTTTACAACGACTCACTGATGCATCCTGGATGCAGTGGTGAACAGGGCAGACAAGATTCCTGTGCTCACAAGAAAACAATTAGATGATTACAGGCGATACTTAGAGCTACGGAGGAAGACCTCAGGATATGATGAAAAAGAGAACTAAAGAAGCTTGCCCTGGATAGTTGGGTGATGAAGGAAAGCCTCTTTGGGAAAGTGACATTGAATCAAAGGCCTGTAGAACCAGGGTTGTCAGATACACAGAGAACTCGTGAAAGAAGGAACAGGCTTGTACAAAGGCCCTGGGGTGGAAAGTGGCCTAGATGTGCCTGGAGTCAGAAAGAATAACGGGGGCAGGAGAAGGGGGAGGGAGTGGGAAGGCACTGTGGGAGGCGTGTGGGTGACGTGCTGAGCAGACCACTGCAGACCTGGAAGATTAGAGCAAGCACTTTAGACCCCACCCTAAGAGCCATGGGAAGCCATGGAAAGGCTGTCAGTGGGAAAGAGACACGTCCCAGTGACGTCAAGTGCAGAGGCCAGTTAAGAGGCTACTCAGTTTCCATGAGATGACGGTAGCCTGGTCAAGGCTAGGGTCCAGGGTAGAGAGAGAAAGTACTAAAGACAGATGGGAGATTTCTCTTCCCTCGATAGCTACAAAGAGGCTCCTCCCTAGCCTCTCCCGCATCGCCTGCCTTTCATCCTCTCCCTGGCATCCCCAGTGCCCTTTTTACATTAAAAAACGTCAACTCGGGCCAGGCGCGGTGGCTCAAGCCTGTAATCCCAGCACTTTGGGAGGCCGAGACGGGC